GTATGGCGTATATATTTAGTAAAAAATTTACGTAAATTTCCCCGATTTTTTACTGTATATAAACGTATATATTAGGTAAAAATTAAGCTAGATATTCCCCGTATTTTATGGTACAAAAACGTATATATTTGATAGAAATTAACGTATATATTTCCCGTAATTTACGGTACAAAAACGTATATATTTGATAGTAATTGACCTAAATCTTCCCTATGTTTTCTTTGCATATGCGAATGACTGGTAAAAATTTAATCCGATGTATTATTCTCCACTTTACTGTGTATAAATGCACATTTTTTGGTAAAAAATTTGCATAAATCTCCAATTACCTTTTCACTGTATTTTTCATAAAATGTACTTATTTTAATCTCATATTTTTTTATATAAATCTATGCAAAAACTTTCTGTATGCTATGATTAAAAGGTAAAATAATTTTTATATCAAATTCTTACATACCTGCCTTTTAGTTATGTACAGCACTATGGAATATATATAACTGGAAAATTTAAATGCACTAGTAAATGCAAAAAAAAAAAAATTAATTTCTATTAAAAAATTACATAACACTTAAAGGCTGAAAATGACTTTTAATATTTCATTTCAAAGTGACTACAAAATATGCAATAAATTTCGTAAACATCAATTCTGTGTTTTAAATCAAATTAATGCTATCATTCATTTGCATTTTTGTTTACTAAATTCATTTCATAAATAATTTAGTAAAAAACTGTAGCAAACAGTTGTTTACTAAATTCATTATTACTAAATAACACTTTAAATAAATTATTTGCTTTTCCGAAGGACATTTTCTTATGCCATGTAAATGAACGATAGCATTAACTGATTTAAAACATAGAACTCAGGTTTACAAAATTTATTGCATATTTTGTAGTCACTTTGAAATGAAATATTAAAAGTGATTTTCAGTGTTATGTAATTTTTGAATAGAAATTAATTTTTTTTTTTGCATTTAAATTTTTCAGTTATATATATTCCATATTGCTGTACATACCTAAAAGGTGGATATGTAAAAATTTGATATTAAATTAATTTTATCTTTTAATCATAATATGCAGAACATTTTTGCATAGATTATATAAAAAAATAAGAGATTAAAATAAGCACATTTTACGAAAAATGCAGTAAATAGGTAATTGGAGATTTATGCAAATTTTTTACCAAAAATGTGCACTTATACACAGTAAAAGGAGAAGACATCGGACTAACCAAAGTCACCAAAGGTTTTACCAAAGTCATTCGTATATGCAAAGAAAACATAGGGAAGATTTAGGTCAATTATTATCAAATATATAAGTTTTTGTACCGTAAAATACAGGGAATATCTATGTTAATTTCTATCTAAAGTACAATATAGTTAATTAACAAATTCAGTAAACGAATGTAGCACAAAAGAAAACATCATACGTTTAGATTATTTGAATGAGTGTGCTAAATTTTAAAATTGTTAAATATAGACCAGGAAATTGTAGAAAACTTACCTTTTCCAATAGTTTACCAAGTTGACTTTGTTATTTTCCTTGAAGATGAATGTTTAATGTCACAAATATTTCATTCATATCTTCAGATAATACACAAATATATACATATTTATTTATTAAATTCAGTTTATCCCAAACATGTTAAAGAAAAATATTAATTTGCATGCAAGTTAATTGAGTAACTTCTGTTTTAATTACACACATAATTATGATATGTAAAAATTTTACATTTATCAGTCAATCTTGCAATGTATTGTAATCTATTATTGTTGTCTTTCTCAGTTTAAAATCTTATAAATATATTAGATCAGTACTAAAAGTTCACCTCTACAAAAGAAATGCTTTATTGAGGTATTTTAAAAAGTTCCCTTTTATAATGTAACTGTTAATTTCATAAATAAGTTCATAAATTATGCAAATTCAAATTACCTAATATGTTCTTTATTTTATCTATATACCAGATAAAATTTTAAAAGCTAATGTTTAGGAATATTGAGTTTTTAAATTGAAATGATAAAACGAAACTTAATTTTCATGTGAATTTTCAGCGCTGACTCTCCCATTCTAGAAATTTCAATTTGTTTCAGACAAAGACCACATTTAGCTTTAAGGATTGTCATCCATCAATATCCAGTCTTTGTAGTCAGCTTGATGAAGCCACAGTTTATTGAAAATGCACTTTCCAGGCATCTCGTTCCTATTTGCGTCGGAAGGGTTGTGGCCTTCCAGGTTGGGATTGCTCTAATTTTGGCAAATATTTTCAGAATCCCCCCCCCTTTTTTTTCTCGAGCACCTTCATCATCACTTTCGCCTCTTAAACAGAAATGATAAGAAATGTCAAATGAGCAAAATTAAGGACCGTTTATTCATTTTGGCCAAAATTAAGGACTTTTAAGAACCAAAAATCATTTTTGAAAAAATTAAGGACTTTTAAAGACCGTACGAACCCTGTGGTAGATGAGTTTGGGGATTGGTTTGCTCATCGCTGCTATAGGGAAAATATTAATCGATGATAATCGCTGCACCTACCAAATGATGTGAAAGGAACTTAACTTTGTATCCACCGCCATACATAAAATTACTCATGAAGAATTGCGTATGAAAAAACTAGTTTACTGTTGAGTTCCCCATAATTTAACTGAGCACCAAAAAGAAGAGTATGTCAGAATCAGTACAGGAACCCTTAAAGACGGTGGCCACCACATAATTGCTAAAATTGTAACTGATGATTAATAAGTTCCATGAAAAAAAATAATGTATCCGTTTTCTTCAGAAGTACGGGACTGGTCAAGGCCATCGGTCACTGCTAACTGATATGCCATTGTCTTCCAGAAATTCGTCAAGACGTGAATATTAGAAGTCTCATCCTCCACCATGACAACACATCTTCTCATTCAGCAAGATTGACAGCTGAGTTTCTTGAACAAAAATATATCACAGTGAGAACTCGATCTAGCTGTGTGTGACTTTTGGCTATTTTTTAATCTAAAAAAGAACTTACATGGACGTCGTTTTCATTCCAAAGATCTGATGTGGCTATAAACACATTTTTTCATCGCATTCAAGAAATGAATCGTTTGAGGCATTTAATTTTTTGAAAATTCGCCTACAGAAGTGCATTGATGCTGGAGGAGACTGCTTTGAACAGTCCGAAAATTTCGTAAGTGTAACTTTACAAACTTATGTGTATCTCAAAAATTTCAGTGACCCCCATATCATCAGTGAACTTGCCAAAGGTCTCCAAACTATGGTTTTGTATATTTTAGTGTCTTATTTTTACAACTAAGAATAACAAAACAAATTTTAAAAAATAATAATATCAGTAACATTATGTTGGACAATCAGCTACTTCTTTGAAAGAAATGATCTCAATGCACCAAAATGAATTTTTTTTTTACTGATTAAATATGAAATATTTTAAAAAAGACTTAAACAGACTATTTTTGATATTAAATGTTGCACAGAGTACTTATAATTTTTTGAGTGGTACGATAAGGTTAGTGTTCTTAGATTGTATAATGCAAACAATAGTCACAGAATTGTTCGGGACAATTCTTAGCATGTGACTGTAACAGTCTGGTATGCTAAGAATATCCCAGGGTTCAGCAGCAAGGAAAGAAACATAACTGATTTTCATAAATAAAAATTTTTTAAAAAAATTTTTGAAATGCATAAATTTATTTAAGGTAAAATTTCAATACTTAATTACAGTTTCACCAAATATAATATTTATAAAAAAAAATATTATTTTTCAGTTTAAAATATTTTGATGGTATTACAATAAAATATATTACATTAAAGAAAGACCAACTGCATATGCACTTTCTTTGGCATTTAATGATTTTATCAGAAAGAAATATTACAAATACATATTCAACAATAAAAAAATAATACCAGTACTTATGAAAATCTTTATGTTAATAAATAGGAACTAATGTGAAATAAATAATGTAATGAAACACTTTCTTATGATTATTCAAAATGGTGACAGAAAAAACATCTTGAAGCAGATCTGTAAATACAAGTAATACAACAAAAACATTAAAAGATTGATATTATTAAGTCAAAATATACCTTTAAAATAGCAGTTTTCTACATAGTATTACACTTAACACCATTAGATACTATTTATGGGAAGCATTCAATAAATTTTAAAACTTCAGTACTTGTACAAAATATATGCCTAAAATTACTTATCTGGTTTCCTTCATAGTTCCCCTTGGGAGGAATATACTTCGCTCATACAACAGATTCCAGTAGAAATTATAAATATTAGAAACAACTTTCAAACTAATGAACAAAAAAGCATGCTTCAAACTGCATCACTATAACATGAACCATGCAAATGTTGCTTCAGTTTTTAAAACAACGTTTTGGTGAATATTGTAAATGAAGAAGATAAAATTCGTATAGCCGTATAACAGTTTGTAAAATTTGAGCCTTATGTATAGGGAGTGCTACTGAACCAAAACATTTTTTTGTTGAGTTTGCTACATCATTTTACAATTACAGCTGAAGTAGAAATCATGGTATTGTGTGCTATACAATCCAAAGGCAGTGTAAAAAAAAGCTTTCAATTTCTGGTTCTAAGCTAATCAGATCAAGGAGATTCACTGTTTCACATCATGATCATATTCTGTTTCTCGATCACAGTGTGGAAGCCACATTTCATCTCTAGTTCACAAATTGTAAATAAAAGTTTTGATACTTTCTGATTCTCCCCATCCCCACAAAAAGTCACTAGTGAGGATTACAATTTGATTTTGTAAATTGAAGAAAAAATGTTTATTTGGCTTATTTACACTTTATCAGTACTGTAGTACTCATACAATCATTTTCTAAGATATAAAAACTTTTATAAGAGGAGCATATTGATTACCAACATTTATATAGCCACTTCAGCAAAACCACATTTAAACATAAAACATGCAAATCCACATGCACTCAAACAAGTTGATGGTACACATATGTTTGTTCATAAATAATAATAAAAACAATAATTTTATAAGACATAAAAGATTTTATAAGAAGGAACAAAAATGTATACAGTTGACATTTACACTTTTACAGCCACTACATAGGCTTCAGCAAAATGACATTTAAATATAAAGCATGTAAATCCCCATGTATTCAAAATAAGTAGATGGCACACAAGTTTGAGTTGGCTGTTGGCAGAGGTATGCTAAAAAAATACATTAAAAAATTTAACAAATGTTGAAACCAGAGCTGTGAATAATCAGAAAATATCAAAAATTATATTGGAATTTTTCATGGACGAAATTCTTGAGAACACTTAACCTAATATTTCTTCTTGTCTGATATTCTAGGCATCCATCTTTTACATTTCTAATTACCATGCAGTGTGTTTTATACAGATCCAGTATAGCTGCCCATTTCCATAGCAATCTGAGAAACTATCATTCATCTTTTCCTCAGGCTTAGCCCATAGTTCTTCAGTGAGCATATCCACATTGCTGTCTGGACTAGAATCAGCTTTGAGCAACAATCTCTCCTACCTAAACATAGTAGCCCATCTTTTGATATAGATATTGAAAAATGCTGCATCAATGTAAACAGCAACCATGTCTTCATGAACACATCATATGTATTCATGAATGCAGCATACCTTCATGGTATGTTTTCATTTATACACCTGCAATGTATTCATGAACATTTATTGGCATTTAACTTCTTTTGAAAAAATCACTAAATGATGTTCAATATATTAAATATTAACAAATATAACTCACAGAATAAAATAGCCTTTTAAAATCAGATAATACTTACTAAGCGTATGCTTTCTATTTTATACTATCTATTTATATTTTCTATTTTATACTATGACAGAATCATTTCAGTATGTTTCATGATCCCATATATATTACAGTATACTCAGGTTTAGAACTCATTGAATACCCCTAGTTGAATATAATCATTGAATACTCCTAGTAGAGTTGAATATAATCTATAAAAGATAAAATAATACTATACTGCCCTCTCCTCAAAAAGTCCACCTTCCATATTTTCTCAACATTTTTTATAAATTCACTACTAAAATAAGGGCTACACAAATACTGAAAGATTTTTTTTTTTTTTTTTTTTTTTTTTCTATTTTCAATTGACTTTCTTAGCTATTACATTTCACAGAAAGTCATAAACTACTCTTCTGGGATTGGATTCAGAAATGTGTACGTGTTCATGTATGCATGTACATGAATGTTTGGTACATATGTATGTGTGGTGTATAGCACATACATACATACATACATACACATGTGCCTATATAAATACATTTTTGAGTCCGCTTCCAACAGCAGAAGAATAAGTCATAATCCACAATACTTAAAATATGATTAATATTAGAGAATAAAAAATCATAAAAGTCTCTTAAATTTTAAATTTACTGTTTTACTACATTCTATATAATAACACAAAACATCCATTTAAAACATAAACATGAATCTGAATTCTAAATTACAATTCACTTAAAATCCACAATTTAATTCTGAACTTCAGATATAACAGCCTTATAACTATAGCTCATTATTACACTAATTACAATCAATGCAATAACTTTACAGCATTATACAGTAAATATCCATTTTGTAAAATACTAAAATTAATATTTATTATACTTAACTTTTATCTTTAAAAACTGAATCTGAAATTTTAAAGTTAAATTATTAATATCAAAAGCAGACAAATATTAGTCTAGCATAAAATTTCAAATCATCTACTATCCTAAAAAGGAATCCTTTTCACAATATAAAAATCTGATGAATTTAAATTTTGCTTTTCTTTCCTTAATGTAAAATTTTAACAAGCAGTTAAATACAAAATCAGGTACTTTGGTTACCACAACCATTTTTGTAGAAGTTGACAAAAATGTGCACAACAATTCTTCAGGTTATACTATATAAGTTTGAATAAGAAATGCCATAATTTTCATGCATGCTGTGTTTGGTTGTATTAGAAGCTGTAAAGGCAAACTGCAGTATTTTTAGTCTTCAAATTAATTTTGAAACATGTGCCTGCACACGAAGAAAGTCCTGTGAAATTTTTGCATAAATATAATATTTTGCCACAGAGATGGGAATGTTCAGAATCATATTTGATGATGCTGTATTTTGGAAAACAACCTTTTTGGAAATCCAACATGTAAAATTCAACGGACACATTGGAATTTAAAGCGTAAATTGGTTCTTTAGTAAAATAGTAGTCTGCCATTTACTACAGCAGTCAAATTTATATACTGCTGGAGTAAAGAATTAACAAGTGTTAAATTTTGCTTTGAAGAATTAGAATGGCCAGTAAGACTGAGAGACTAAAAGAATTACATGCAGGAGATGCTATTTGTAAGTAGTTTCATAAATAGTTTCCCAAGATAAATATGAAACTAAAATTAAAATATGTATCTAATAACATGTATGATATGAAATAAATAACTTTCTCTGATATGAAATAAATAACTTTCTCTGATTTGAAATTACCATTCTTTTTCTTTTAAAAAAATTGCCAAATTATGCCAAGGTAGTTAGTTACAGTAACATCAGAGTACCCAAAATGAATCTGAAGATCGACAGTACAGAATACTCTAGTTATAAAGAGAACTATTAAAACCACAATTACTGACAAACTAGAACTAAATATTTTTAAAAGTGAAATCCTCATCTTTCATATACAGCATTTTTATATTTTATACACTGCAATAATTTTCAGATATGTCATGAATCACTGAAATTATTTGTAATAATTTATACACATGTTACAGTAAATACCTCACAGCTAAATAAATGTTATTGTTCTTGAATACCTTATTGTATTTATTCAAGTCCAAGCAATAAATTAATAGAGTCTGGATAGCAAAATTCACAGGTCATATGACTGCAACCAACAGATATCAAAATATCTTTATTTATTGCAGCACAAACAATGCTTTTTATACCTTCTTGAGGTCTTGTCACTAGGTTGTTAGTAGAAACAAATAGCTCTCGTCTTAACCAAGATTTAAGAGGACTTAGATCTTCATCAGCATTTGTATTTCTAAGTGGCATATGAAGATCAATGCTATTGTTTTTAGAATTTTCAGATACATATTCACCTGATTTAGACTTAACATTAGATTGATTGTCATCATTCGAAATGAGTGTTGCCTTTTTGCAGGATGCAAATCGTGAGCTTCGACGAACAGATGATTGCACGCTTTTGCATTTTGAATCGAGTTGTACACTTCTACAATTTTTCCCTACACTTGTATTATTCATGGAATTAGAAGTTTTATTTATTGAGATCTGTTGAACTCGAGACACGTCAGAAGAATTAGGTAATTGAGAAAGCCACTCATTTATCCTTGATGATGGTTTAACTGATAAAGAAGAAGCATTTTTTATACTGCCATTCACACTCCTAGTAGAACCAGTTTGGGCATTAAAAGTATTTAACTGTTCTGACATCTGCTGATCATCCACTGAATATACAGATAAAGCAGATGATACTGTTTTCTGTGAAGCACTTTTACATCCATCTAATCTTTTGCTTTTTAAAGATAATTTTTGAGATACTTTTGATGTCTTTTTCCTTTTTGAAAATCCACAATCTGATATTTCTTCACAATAAGATGATGATGAACTGGATAAAATGGAAATAGCTTTAACAGGTTGTTGTGGATCTTTTTTGTTTAATTCAGCACTTTCATGCAAATCTGATTTAATATTTTGCTTTAAATCAGAAGAATGCAAAGAAGTAACTGAAGAATTTTCTTCTTTTGACGGTGATGCATCATTTTCATCAAAATTTATCTTACCTATCAATGTTTTTTCATTAGAGGATACAGAATCACAGCTAGAATTCAAAACACTATTGCCATATATTAAACATTTATCTGCTTGAGAAACAGTTTTGGCCAGTTGACTTTTGCCAATATTACTGCCTTGATGATTTAAATTTTGGGAACCATTAAGCACAGAAAATTTAGCGGTATCTGTAAGATTATCTGTGTCTAATGATAACTGCCCGTCATTGCATGAAGTAATGTTTTGAGGGCAAAGTGCAATAGTTTCTGACATATCTACACTATTTAAACAAGTATGGCTTGTAAAATTCATATCAGAATTTGTTTTCACTGCAGCACTTTCTACGCTAGATACAGACATTACATCATCACTAATATTGCTAGAAACTGAACTATCTTTGAATGCTGCAATACTCTTAAGGCAGTCTACAAAATTTGTCTGGTTTGGAGTCTGTATAACTTCTAAATCAGAAGAATCATATGTAATTTCAATGTTATTACAATCGGAGGTTGTTGATCCTGCACTGTCTTCAGAAACATTTTGATGTAAAACTTCTGACATATTTCCTGATTGACATGATTTACTTTTAGAATGTGCTAAGGCACTTTTAAATCCATTTGAAATAGAATAAATGCTACTATTAGAGGAATTACACAATGAGTACTCAGGAGTCCTTTCACTTACTGAAATAAAAGACTTACAACTATTTTCTTTCTGCATGAAATGAGCTTCCCTCAACCTCAGTCGTAAATCACACTGGGACAGCAAAATATTATGATGTGCAGTAACAGATAATCTTTCTTTCCCCACAACACATTGGTCATATGCTAGCTCAGCAGCAAATGCTTCAGATAAGTATGAAAATTTTATAACTCCTTCAGGATATGCATATCCATCTGCATCTTCACACACTAAAACAGATAAGATAGTACCAAATGCTGAAAATTTCTCCCTCAGAAACTTCACTAAACCGGCAGGTGTCCTGCACTTATTCAGATCTGTTACATATAATAACTGATATTGTGGCTTCTTGTCACCGTACTGAAGGATTTGTTTTTCAAATAAACGAAGATCAGAGAGAAGTTCTTGAATGACTACAGCACACACACTCCTATTCATGATCCGAGCCTGTGATAAACGAGAAGCAATTGATTTAGCTTCTTCTGAACTGACACAGATTACAATAGCTCGTCGACAATTTATGCGATGAGAATCAACCATCATTCGTTTATGTGTAACTTTCCGATTGTTTGCAAGTCCAAGTTCTTTCCACAGCTTGCTTTCAGGTGTCACATTGTCAAGCAATTCTATCAGCACATACTTTGAAAAATCATAATTTGCAGATGATTCTGTGATTTCAGATGCTTTAACAGCTTTATACAACTGGAATCCATTATAATCGGATACATCAGCATGATCTTCAGATTCACAAATCCTACAAAAGACAAAGAGGGATAAAACTTAATTTTTTTAATCAATAAAATTAAGTATTTCACTTAGTATGCCTTCATTATGGAGCGAGTTTCAGGGTGCTTATTCGGTTATCCCTCATCACATTTCCTTGGCGAACAATTTTTCCCCCCCACCAAGGAACAACACATAAAAAAGAAGCACGAAAATTAAAAATAAACAACAAAGCAGCTCAAAAAATTCAAATTTACTTCAAAAGAATTACATGCTGTAAAAAGATTTAAAAAAAAGAAAAAAAAACTCGCAAAACTTAAATTTTGCTGTTCCTTAGGTTTATAAAAATAGAAGTAAAAATTATTACCTAAACACAACATTTTCACCAGCATCTGGCATATAACAAGTGAATGTTTTTTAAAATAGTTGACAGGTCAGTGAAAACTTTAATGGAAGTAATTCAGATAGCATGGTCAAGAGGTGACTATTTACAAATACAGTTGAACTGGCTTATAACAAGCATGAAGGAACTATGCTCTTTGCTCGTTATAAGCACTTGTAAAAAACCAGTTCATGGAAAAAAAAATCATAAAAAGTTATACATACTTACCATATGATATAGAATTATTTTTCATGTCTGTACAGTACAAAAGAAGTTGGTTAATTTACATTGAACTGCCTTATAATCTCTTTCTTATGGTATTGTTCTATGGAGAAGACTCAAAGCCGGAAAAACATCATCATTTGCAACCCTGGCTGCCAAAAAGTTTGAAGATTTTCTGCGTACTCAAAAGACGTAAGTATGCTGGGGTCAGTTCAGTATGAAATTCTTCACATTTGGCATTAGCATCATTGCTTTCATTATTTTTTCATCTGTTTTAGCTTGAATTTCTGGTACAATATCCTCAGGAGTAGGTATCTCGGAAGTAATAATACTGGTGTCAACAAATATATTATATTCAAATTCTTCTTTACTAATTTTCAAATTTTCCAAATCGTCTATTTCTTCTTCCTTAGCGATTTGCCCCTCTTGAGAAATGTCTAATCCAGCCTTATGGAAGCAATTAGTGCAGTCAAAAGTCGTTAATCCAGACCTCAAAGCTACAAACTTTCTGCGCATGCGTCAACGCATAATGCATTCAAGCAAGTGCGCGTGTGTGCATGCGCATAATACGTTTACGCTTGCATGTTTAATGTATAACGGATAGTATAAGCTAAGCTAAAATTATCTAATTATCTATTTCAGTTAATGTTGCAGATTGTGTTGTTCCTTAATCTTCGAACTGGATCCGGCTTATTATTTTTTGCAGACTGTTAGAGCAATTTTATAAAAGTAAGCTTAAACTTTCGATTATGTCAAATAGAATTTCCGATATATATTTACTAATATGTAAAGGATCTACAAAGCGAAAGTATGTTTCGATGTCCATCAAACAAAAAGTGGAATTGCTGCAAAAAATGGATAAAGGCATATCCTTTGTTTCTCTAACCATTCCGAAATCTGTTTATCAATTTCACGCTGCTCTGCGGGAAGGGGGGGATGTCGCGGCGCGCAATGAACTGGAAGTTGATCTGTCAGCACTAGCCTTATCTTCAGGGCAGATGTTTTTATTTTATTCAGCTTATAATTCCTTACTAAATGTAGTATTTCATCTCGATGTATTCCGTCTTTGATATGATTTAAATCAAATTCCTCGTCATTATAAATATTCTGAGTACACATCAAATAGTTTTCTGGTTGCAATTTTCTAATTTTGACTATGCGTAATGTATGCTTTACGCATGCGCGTGTTGAAAGAAATGTTTAATAAAGTAAACAAATATATATTAAGCTTTTTTTCTTTTTTTTTTTTTTTTTTTTTTGTAAATTTTGATACCTTTACCATCATAATTGCTCTTTGTTTCATAAATTACGGTTTCATATTCTTAATTTTATAATTTTTGCATGCCATCTTACCAGATTTAAACTGATGATCTATAATCCGGAAAAATCGATAATCCGGAATCGCCGAAGTGCCGACGAGTCCGGATTAAAGACTTTTGACTGTAATGCATGTTGATGTAACGATTTTTCATGCATCATTCATTAAACATATCACTTTGAGTAGTTCCTATTCGTACTTGAGATTGTTTCTATTTTTTCCTCTTCTATCGAGAAGTTTATACCAGAATAACTGCTTATAAAAGTTTGATTTAATGCTTCTGATGACCCTTTGGTCCATAGGCTGGATAAACACTTGTAGAATTCATTGATAAAAATTCAATCCTAATGTTTGTAAGTCCAGTGATTTCAGGATGCACTTTGCCATTATTAATTAAAAGAAGAATTTTATGTTTTTATTTCTTCAGGTGCCTCTTGTATTTTGGAACTAATTCCCGAAGTTATTCAGACTTTCTTGCTGTGGCCATAATCAACAGGAAGCTTTTCTACATGCTTAAACACCTATAGTTTTTAGACTTGCCAATAACCAACAGTTTCTTCTTGTCAGTGCCAGACAAGGAACACACTAAAGCTGTCGATCGATTTTTGGAGAGCTAGCCTCCGATGCATCTTTCACCCCTGAACTTAAAAGTGTACAGTTAGTTACATTGTACAAAATGCCCATTTCATTGGCATCATAAATGTTAGCTTTTGTGTACCCTTCTCTAATCTCTCTTCTCTCACAACTTTTCACTCATCCATATTGCGATATCCACCATGTTTGCAGATTTTGCTTCACCACAAATTTTTCCAAAGGTTCTCCCATGTCTATTCTTGAATCGAGCAAGCCATCAATTCAAACATACAAATCCAGAATGGCCATATTGTTCAGCAAATTTTTCTGCTTGAACTTTTACAAGTGGACCACTGACAGGAAAATCTGCGACACATTGACCCTTCATCCACTTTAAAACAGCTTTGTCTAAATCCTTTTTAGCAGTTTTCTTCACATATTTACAGGCATTCTTATTTTGATCGAAAGCAACGATTTATTTTTTTAAATTTTATTTTACTTTATTTTTTCCTTTAACAGTTATGAAGCAGAAGAAGATAAATCATATTTTTTGCAGACTTTGGAGTTTTATACCATCCTCTAAAATCCTTACTTTTTTTGTCAAGTGATAAAATTTTACGTTTCGACATTGCAAGATAAAATTTCACAATCATACTCTATGAATGCAGATAAAGAATGACACCCCCACACAAGTCCACTATCCTGCAACCCCTATGCAGAGTAAACTTCCATCCAAACAGCAACCTCCAATATCTTCGTCTGTATCAAGATCATTGTGGGATACCCTCGCACATGCACACCACAAGATGAAAAAGGTTGCTATAATATCTTCGCAGGATTTATGACTCATCACTAACTTTCATTTGACTTTGGAATATTAAGGGAATTTTTCCAAGATAGTATTAGCTAAGCTGGAGAGGTGGAAGTCAATATAAATTTTATGAATCACAAAAATATTAATCGCTATAACTGGGGTCTTCTCATTAAAAGTGAGTTATGCTCCCATGAAATTAACATTATACCAACCAAGTATTTCCAATTTCTTCGTTAAATCTGGAATCTCACAAATAAGCATCTGGATAATCCAAATTCAAGCACCTCTCAAGGAATTTACAAATTGCATTACAATACACTATACTGTAAGGCAGGTTTTCTTAAACTCTTTTCAGTTACAACTCCTTTTTAACACTGAGATTTTTTTCACACCCCATAATATTTACAAAAATTTTGTCAGACCCCGTAACTATTGCGCAAATCCGACATAAGCATGAGTGAAACTGTCAATTTTTTCACTTTTACTGTAATATACTACTGCAGTTTTAGATTAACTTTAATTTCTAATATTAAGGCATAAAACAATGTGAAAATTTTAAATAAGTAACAGACGAAATGACAGCATCATGTGCAAAGCAAGGAAAATGAACGTTTATATTATAAAAAGAATGTGTTGAAATGTTTTCATTTTTTTCTTTGTCTGCATTTTCTTAATCTTTATCTATTTTCAGATACATTGTGTAAAAATATTAGGTAATTGCAAAATTATTACAATAAGTTAAGGAAATATCAAAATTGATAAAAATTTTGACGACATCCTGCTGTAGGTCCCACGACCCTAGAAACCCTGATGTAAGGAAATAACAATTAGGCCAATAGGAACTTCATTTAAAAGTAAAAATTGGCATTCCATAATGTTGTACTTTTTAAATAATCAAATTTTAAGGATTAAAATGTGTCCAATTCTCTGTTGTTTTTCTAATTGAAAACAAATCACTGCGTACATGGGGGAGGACAACAGCAGCATGCACATTGCCAAATTTGTGCATTTCTCAGATTTTTTTTTTTTTTTTTTAAGTGAAAACAGATCACTGTGTAAATGTAGAGAATAACAAACAAGAAAAAAACTGGCATAATCATCAGCTACTGGCAGCTAGAGAAATGACAGTAATATTTAAAACTTTTTTTTTAACTACTAGTAACTGAATACCAAACAGCATGGTAACCTTTTATGTTGACATTATGCTTGCTAACAATGGTTGAATGTAGTTGATTATCATAGAATGGAATTTTGGATGAAAGAGCAAATAGGTCAGTTGCTATTCTTGTGGAGTTAAAAAAAAAAAAAAAAAAAAAAAATGCAGAAGGAATAACATTTATTTATCTTTGTGAAAGCCATTATTCTGCAATTACTGCTATTATTAAATCAAATATTTTCTCTCTCATGCACATTGCCATTAAATAAATTCTCTTAAATATGAATTTAAGAGTTGGCAAACTGTTCCACTTTGTCTTTTGTTTCACCATTTGGCTGCAATCCAGAATTCCTCAATTTTTAATGTATGTGTGCCAGTTGTTAGAATTCTTCAATTTTTAATATATGTGTGCCAGTTGTTAGAATTCCTCAATTTTTAATGTATGTGTGCCAGTTGTTAGAATTCCTCAATTTTTAATGTATGTGTGCCAGTTGTTAGATCTACAAAGTCGCATTTATCATTCAATCCAAAATGTTGAAAACAGATCTTTCTTTACTCATTGCTCTGATGAGCATGCCAGTATCCAAATATATTAACAGTTCTTTTATCATCTGCATTCAAGTTGTGGCACCTCTGTTTGCTATTTCTAGAAGATTACATTTGTTCATTCCACTGCAAAATATTGTTTCAGCTAAATACTGGTTATACTGGCCTTTTGTTTGATGAATAAACTTTTATCAACGGAGGCAATTTTTTTTTTTTTTTCAGGTACACTTACTTAATTTTTTGACTATTTGATCAAAACTAAGCAATAAATTTCTACGATATAGTTGTTCAAATCAACAGCTATGTTTTTGACCACATTTAACTGTCTATTTACCATCTGACAAAAGCTAGATCTGTGGCACAACAGTGTATGAAGCATAAAGCGGTAAAAAAAAAGGAATACTAGAAACACAAAATCAATTATCACCTTAAAGACCTTTTCCCTACACACAGCTTTTCACATTGCATTTCTAAATGTTTTGCTTCCCAATTAATAATTTTATTAGTTGGTCATTTTTGCATTTTTGTTCAGTATGCAAAATTAATAATGGTAAGTTAATGTTTAACATTTTAGAGAGAAAAATAATGAAGGATATGAAATAATAAACAATATCACAAAGAAACTGTTGTTAGAGTTGACTTAAGGGTACCCCTTGTATTATTGTGAAGTTGTTTTATTTATCGTCAAGTTGTTTCATTTATGATAACCTGAGTAGTTGAATGTTATGGAAAACCTATTATGACATAATCTGTTGCATTATTCCAGGAAATTTTGAATCATGGAATGTTTTATAAGGGTTTTTGTGGTGTGTGTTGGAAGTACATTATTTGTTTTATTGTTTAGACAGTAGAATGGCTGAATGTAGTAAGATTAATTTGAAGTTTCTGTAAGATTTGGAATGAAAGGGGAAAAGAGCATTAACTGACTAGTGTGTAAATGAAGCTTTACTTAATAGCCATTTTCCAGATAGTCATGAACTATGGAGGATATTTTTTACTCTTATTTTTGTGAATTTATATTTATATGTAAATTATATGGATTATATGGCCAATATACGGATTCGAGTTCATATAATTTTAGGAAGCTTTTGGCTACTGTTAAGGAATTTTGTGTCTCACATACTTAAGACGACGAAATTTCTAAATAAGGTAAGTGGATATTTACTTTGTGTAGTGCTTAAATGCATAAGAAGTTCTTTTCCTTTTTTATGTTATTTTATTGTTTGGTTTAAAATGCAGTTTATCATGCATTTTTTGTTTGCCTCTACTGTAGAACTGAGTGCTCTTTTCACTTTTTAAGTGAAAATATATCAATGTGTACATGGACAAAGAGAAGGGAGTGCGCAATGCCAAATTTGCACAATTCTGGGATTTTTTTTTTAGGTGAAAATAGATCAATGTGTTCATGGATACCGAGTTTGTGCAATTCTTTGTCTTGTTATTTTGGCTTTGCGTAGCGGCCATTTTTTGCGCAAAAATCGATGCTACGCAAGCCAAAATGAGATCACATGGAGTTACGTGATATGAAACGGCGAATCAGTTTGTTGTACCATGAAAGCATAGTAAATTCTTAAATTATTGTCTTTATTTATTGCCTTTTTACAACATTTTAAACGATGTTAAAATGTTTATGCCTTCAAAATAAAAATTTCTTAGACTTACATTTTTTTATGTATATACTGTGTGTTGTTACCAATAAAGTCTGCTTGGAGAGATTTGCGCCGGCGAAACGGAAAAGTACCAAATCTTTATATGTATCCTTCAAACGTGAATCTTTTATATAACACCAATATTACTCTCCTGAAGCTGATCTTGATTCTATTATGATTTTAACTTAACTCCCCTTAATAGTCAAAGTCTTATATGAAAATCCTGGAGAAAACACTAAAACTGAGTATTTTTAGAACACTACCCCATATCAGTTTATTCTGGCATACAAAAATTTTTCGCTTAAATAAATTCTATTAAACAGGTCAAATTTTACCTGAAAAATATAAAATAACACCACTATTTATTTGCGCTATTTTTATGTAATACGATCATTTATTAAAAAATTAAGAAACATGTCAACAAACAATTAGGGAAAGAAAAAATATACAATCCAAAATATTCCCCCGGTGTTTTGGAATAAAAATTTACCATGAATAAAAAAAACTTACTTGTAGTAGTATGCCATACTGCTTTTACATATTTTTAATTTTTCTATGTCTTACATTTACAAAAAAGCATTATTCAATTACATAAATTCGTTAGCACAATATCATGCTCCATACTAAATACACAAAATTTACTGTTGCATCTGATGCACAGTCTTTTAGCCCGTTGTTTAAAGAGTTTGGTTTGGTTTATTGAGATTATGGCAAAACACACTAGGATTATCTAAGAGTTATCAGCCTAAGGGGAGGGATGCCTTCATGGAGGCCATTCTAAGGGACCCTGGCTCGTATACAAGTTACACATGGCGAAAAACACGAAAACGCCGATGCAGCCAGCCCGTTCGCTGGATTCGAACCTCGGGCCAAACTACCAGTGTTTAGCGACTTTACCGCTCGGCCGCTGGTGGACCGTTTTTTAAAGAAAAGCCACTAGGAATTACAAATTTGTTGGAAAGCTTGACCTATGTCACTATTACGAGAAGTGGGTACAGTCACCAGAGTGCCTAAAACCTACCTGTGAACATAACGAAACGAAGTTACTAACGTGTGTGTGATTATGGCAAAGACTCTAGGGCTATCTGCCTAAGGGGAGGGATGCCTTCGTGGAGGACTTTCTAAGGAAAACTGGCTCGTATACACGTTACACATGGGGAAAACCAATAAAACGCCCGTGCAGCCAGCCCGTTCGCGGGATTCGAAACTCGGACCGAACTACCAGTGTTCAGCGACTTTACCGCTCGGCCGCTAGTGGGCCGAAGTTACTAACGTATTTTTAAATAATGAGAAAAACACAATCCTAATTGCTTAATGGACCAAGCTGCATAAATACACTCCTCCGAAAGTGGACAAAACCAAGCTGTCCAATTACGAAGTTCACTGAAAAAACTGTTCTAAGGTTCCCTTGGGACTACTTTGAATTCCAGAAAGTATCGCCCTGACGACAGAAACCCAGAATAATACAGCAGTATGGCGGTAAGCAAAGCTCTTAAACAGATGATTACATCAGAAATATACAGCATAAGATATGCAGACTACGAGCATAATAAGAGTGTGCTATTAGGTCATCATAACAGTATGAAAGGTTTCAAAAACTTAGAGAGGAAATGCAGGGGGAAAAAAAGGTTTACCAGAAGGCATACCAATAAAAAATCATAAAAGTGAACTAATTGCTTCCATCTGGGGTACCTCCACTAAATATGTCTTCAGTCTTCAAGTATGTTAGGCTGCATTCAGATGGCGGCGTAAATATCACAGAAACATAGTCATAAGGAATAAAATGCGAGAGTACCTGCGACACAGGATATAAGCCGCTGTAAACACATTCACGCAAATTAGAGAAGCTAAATTTGCGTGAATGTGTTTACAGCGCAAGTGTGGAAGTGTCTACAGCCAAAGAAATAACTTTCCCGCTCTGCTTTCCCATTCAGGCTTCGCGCGTTTGCTCTGATTGGTTGACGCTTATCCCAAGTCGGCATAAAGTTGAAAACTTGAAGCTTTATGACAAGAGGCCTAAGCCAGATTTTGTGACGTAGCACAGATTGGTTGCCTAGCAACGCAGCTCGGCTTATGCCCTTTATACCGTGGTCTGAACGCAGGTTTAAATACCACAAACATTTTATTTATAAATTTGGGGCTTGATTAATATTATCAGATTTGCCAGAAATTGTTTGCAATACAACCAGAATAGATAATTAATTAAATATTTTATGAACTTCATAGATCATGTTCATGTATCAATCAGTAAAGATACCAGAAGTGCTGTCAGAATGTTTTGTGATTTCTTCATTCAGTATTTTGACCTCTCAGACTATTTAAGGTTTCGGGATCTATTTAGTGGAATAAAATTAATATTAGGCATCTGGTTTGGATTAGGATTAACCTGGCAGTGCGTGCCTTGTCTCGCCTAATACTTCGCGTGGCTTAACAATATCTGAATAGGAAAGATTTTCTGAAGTTGAAACTATGATGCTATCATTTACAGAAACCAAACTAGCACAAGGCTTAGCAAAGTTACTAGAAGAAACATTATTGTAACTTTCAAAAGCGTTAGAGTCATCAACCCAACTTTCACTAATTTTTTATTGGTAATGAGCCCTAAAAATTTCCTGCTTACCTTTATTAACATCTCCATGAGCTTTTTCAGCAAGCAAACTGAGCTAAGCAAGCTGAGATATCGATCCATGTCTTCATCCTGATTTTTCTTTAAGAATTTAGCCAGAGCGGACAAGCTGCTCTTCGAAACTGATCGAATACATGAAAAAATTCCCACCATTTCGGAAGTCCATGGGGATAAACTCTCGGTCTGTAATAAATCTGTATCATATCCTTTCACTATCTGAAATGATTTCACGGTCATTGTTAGTCATTATACACACACAATCGAAATAATTTTAAACTATCAGCAATGGCAGGTATTTTTCATTTTAAGCGAAGTTGAACTAAAAACAGTCAGATATTACTGGCCTTGGATAAATGCTGTTAATTTTTATGGGCTCAGTTCTGAATTGAGTGAAATGCAGGGACTAATTTACGCAAAGCGAGACGGAACACATTCTTCAGACGTGTACATTCATTACATTCATGGGGCATCGAGGTCTTAAAATCTAAAATTAGAAATGTCGGAACCCAATGGCAAACTGTTACGAAAAATAAAAAATGAAATAAAATTAAAAAATTTAAATTAAATAAAAGTAAACAGATAATAAAAGTTAAGATATTATGTTTAACTCGATGACAAATTGTTAAATAATGAGATACATTCCGAAGACCTCGTCGATCACGTGACTTATGTATACCTTTTATAAACAAACAGTGTATGTGACCTCAGAGATCACGTGACTTATATACAGCTAATGCCAACAAGCAAGGTCATTTTTCTACTTCTTCTCTTGCGAAATGTATCTCATTAAATAATATACCGGATCTCATCACTTTTGGGGGCTCAGACTGGAATCATATTTTCACTCAAAAACCAGACCGTACAATTATTATTGAAATACAAGCATTTATTAATAAATCTTTCTTAGAGACTTTAAAGGAAGAACATGGAACTTGTGCACATAAGGGAAAAAAAGCAAAATGTAAGGATAACAATTATGAAATGAAAAAAAGCAAATGTAAGGATAACAGTTACTTACCTTAATGATTCTTACCAAGCTCTGGTAAGTTGCTGAATTTAAGCCTTAACATATAGTATAATGTGGCATTTCAAGAGATTTTAGAAAGTAAATTATACTTATTTCAATTCACGAATGAAAAAAAGATGTAGAGAGATTAAAGCCTGAGGATGAAGTGAACGATATAAAGAAACAAGAATATGGAAGAAAATTAAATTTTAATGAATAAACATAAGGAACAACCACCACAGGGAACATACGGAATAGTCCTATTCTTATGATTGTCACTATTTCACATCTGTTCGAGAACGCCTTGACGCAGTTCGACTTCGATACTGCACTTCCATATTGTTTGTTCGTATTTTGTTTCCAGCGTAAAAGAAATATTTTTACTACTGAAGTGCATCCATGTTACCATGAGATTACATTTCTTACTGAATTCAATATCACGTGTCAACTGATATGCTATTAAGTTTAGTATATACGATGCAGGACTTTGGGAAGATGATGATTAGGATGCTTGGATATACGCTAATTGCATAAATTTATATTAATGGTGAGTTTAGTAGAAGCTCATATCAAGAAAGTATTTCATTTAAAAGCAGTCTTGAGGAATTCAAATTTTTCATATCAAAGGTGGATTCATTCATTCTTTTTGATATTTCACGTGAGATAAATACACATACTAGTCAGGTGTAATACTAAAAGCATGAGGCAATTTCTGTTTCTGCAAATAGTAAATTTGTAGCAAATTCATTTGAAGCAAAATAAAATCCTATTTTAAACTTAAACTGTTACAAATTTGGATCGGAGAAATAATGGCCCACATTATGAATTATTTAATTTCACACATTTTTAAACATATGATCTGTTTTGCATCTTTTTTTTAAAAATAGCCAGTATTTACCAAAGGAAAAAAAATATTTTTATACGCATATTAAATTCAGGAAAATGTATTGCTATAATGAAACTTCACTTTTTTTTTTTTTTTTTGGAGGCTGTTTTGACATGTGGCTGAATGCTTTTTTCTTCGAACGTTTCAGTTTCTATCCAAGACTTTGTTTCCCAAGGAAAGCATACGCATCCAGAAGTTAATATTGATTTCGAAGTGTTACTTACTGCTAAAATAAAACAGAAATACCGGAGCTCATCTTTTTGGAAGGCTTTGATAGAATTTAAACACTAGGTGTCCCCAAATCTAAAATATCTGAAATTTTATATTTTTTTGCAATCCTCGGTTTAATAAATTTAGAAGAGAAAAAAAAATAAAAATCTTATTCTATTTATTCATCCCTTCAATTTCTTCTTCAATTTCTTATTCTCTCTCTCTTCTTAGCCAATTTTTTTAATTTACTATTTAGGTATATATTTTAGATTACTTTAAAGAAAACATAGTCGGTTCTAAAGTGTTGGAATCATGCTATTAAGTTAGATTGATGTAACTCATATTTTAAATACGAAATCAGAATGAGTTAGCCATTTGGTGAATGTAAAGCAGCCATGAATGCCGGTACCCTAAGAAAGTCTTTTACTGTAAGGAGCAATTAAACTCGTTTAGGGAAAATATGGTCAAAGCACATAAAAATTTGTAATGACTTACATTACAATCTTTAATGCATGTTTTATGATTGATATACAGGGTGTTTATAAAGTCCCGGACCCATTTTGAATCTTCCATGAAGGTATTCAGCTCCTTCAATAAACAATATACTCATGCCCAATTTTCGATTACAGGAAGCGGAGGAAATTAGCTGCATTCATATACTTGCGTTTATTCCCGCGTTTATCATGATGTGAGCAGATTTACTTAGACTTTCCTTGTGAAGGCCTTCTTTCCATGATATGTAACACTTAAGGTTATTGCTCTAATAATTATTTTAATACCTAACCATCTTTTATATCGATAAAACGATTTCATACTGTACTGCCTTATAACGAAAATGCCACACTACAAAGGAATGCTCTAAAATACCACAGGCGGCACTCATAGACAGCCAAAATTTTCCAGAACAAAT